TCCAGCGATCGGCCCTCGTGGTAACCGAGCGGGAAGTGGGGACCAATAAAATACAGGGGTGCAAACTGCCCATTAGCTGACACCGGCACACTACGGTCTGACGGGCCCAGCCTGCATACGGAAGCCATCCGTTCTCCTGTTTTCCTGGCCCTGAAATTTCGGTTTGGCGTTTCGTTCTTCCCGTTGCCCAGTTCCGTATTCCTTTGAAATTCCCCCAGCAATAATTTATTTGCTTCTTCCTGCGAATCCTTCACAATCCTCCGCGATCCTGCGATTACTTATTCCCATGCCAATCATCGGCCGCATATCTCTACACCGCCGACGTAGCTCCGCCCCCAGCCCCCATCCCCATCGCATACCTTGAACAACCGGAGAATCCACAGAACCAAAATGCCGGGAACTACAATGACGAAAACGAGTGCTTACCCCTACATCCTCACCACAGTCGCGACACGGAAAGAAGGCATTTCCCGCGCAGAATTCCACCGACACAACGAGGAAAAATACGCACCTTTACTCAAAAAGATCGCGGGGAAAGTGCACCCGTTGTCGTGGACGCGGCACTACCATGTTGACGACGAGGAATGCCCAATCGGGATTCCGCGGGTGTTGATTGGGGTTGATGACGGGATGGACTGGGATTGCATGGGTATCATGGCGTTTGAGGATGAATTGCATTTGCAGCAGTTTATTGCGTTTATGCATAGCGATGCGGCGATTCCGGTGCTGGAGGAGGAGGAGAAGTTTGCGGAGCCGACGAAGACGAAGTTGTTGGTTATGAAGAAGGGGATTAGTGTGAGGGAGGGTTAGATGCGTGGTTGGTGATGGGTTTCGGGAGTTTGGGAAGGAAAAGTGGAATTGGAAGCCAGGCTGGAATATGGTCTTTGGGAATGCGACTTGGTCGGAACAGGATGTTATGTTGGGTTATTAAGGGTATTTGACTTATGATATGGGGGAACGAAGTCATCATTAACTGCATTCAAACTGCAGTACAAACATCCATCCCTGTCCCATGACGTGCCTACGAAGAAAGCCACTCTCCATCCCACTCATCTCTCCCCATGGCCGGCCCCCACAAATCTCCCACACCCTCTATCGACTCACCCCAATCGTCATAGCCATCCTGACATAACATCGGAACCCTGTCAATCGCCCTCTCCAGAGAAACATCTCCTTCGACCTGTATGCTACCACCATCTCGGATCCATATGTCGTGCGGAAAGTGCGGCATCTCCCCATGATGATACATATGTCGAATGTGTCTGTGATTAATCTCGGCGAAGCATTGGAACTCCTCTTCGTTCTTGTAAGATGTGCGGGTCACGAAGACTGTGACGACAGTATTGTTCCACAGCCCGCCTGCTGCGTCGTGGAAACGGTCGTCACCGGGACGGTATCTAGCTCTAGCAGCTTGATGTAAGAAGCGAGCGATGTTGGATGCCTTGGCGGGATCGGTAGGTCGAAGTCCACTGGACTTGGGTAGTCTCTGCGAAATGGCTTGGATGTCGGACTTCTCATCGTCTTCGACGGCTATGCGTTCGCGGGGGATTTGTGACATGAGATAGTCGAGTACCTTCCTCTGTCTCATCTTTGTTCCAGCTTTGCCGAGCTCGATGAGCTGCGTTGGTGACTCTTCGACGAAATGTCGGACTAGATTGTTTACGATGGCGTGGGCTTCGAGATAGATTTGCTTGCTCGTACGTAGTATGGCAGTCGGCAGATGTCTTGTGACTAGGACAGCCACTTCTCCGTCTATGGAGACCACGGTGTGTTTGATCTGGCGTGGCAGCCGCTCGTAGATCATTAGGCGCAGTTCGACGGGAAGATTCATGATTGGGAAAGGATTGTGTTGGTCGATCGACATGTCGGTGGCTGAGATAATGTATGTGTTGCTCTTGGAATTGAGGGATCGTATGCAATGACTGATATTGGAAGACATCAAGGTACTGACTGTACTCACTACGCCAGCGGCTGCAAGCTGCGATGTTCTAGAATGGATGAATTCAATCGTGAATGAGCATCAAGATCATATATGCCGGTGTCAATACTAGAGTAATAAGGCTTGGATAGGTATGGCGATAAGAGAAACCCTATCGGATGGGTTCACTAAACATTACCGTGCCGTCACAAAGACCACGGGTAAGCCGGAAAGAACGATGCCGGAGTATTGGTAAGATGACTGGCGAAATATGGACGAATAGACAGAAAGTCTGCGTCGGATCACCGGAAGCAGTTGTATAGCGAGATCCAGCTAGTCAACCCAAGTTGCGAAGGTGGATACTAATGCCCGTCGAGGGGACGTGAAAGACGAGATGATCACGTGACAATTACCACATTCACGTAACGATTGCGAGATACGTGAGAGCGGAATTCTTATAAGAGTATTGATCGGCCCTTTTGGACGGTACTTCGACTAGGATGTGAGCACCCTATCAAAGGAAAGAGCTAGACACCCTGCAGTCTACGTGGTTTCGCACACAAAAGATGGCGAACTTTCAACGCAACGTAGACTCCCGGGTTTTTTACTTCCATCATTCTTCATGAACGGGCATTAAATCCCTCCCTTGGATGACATATGGGAACCCCTCACGAAGAAGCCACCCAATGCCCAGTCCAGTCATCCTGGCTCATGCAAGTCTCCAGGGTCAAGGTCCCATCCAAATCGAACTTGTCCACGTTGAGTATGACAGGGACGTTCTTTGCTGTGACTTTGTACTCTTCGTTGGGAGCGTATGCGATGGTACCCTTCATTTCTGTGCGAACAAACTCGCCGAGACCAGACTCATATTCCCGACGAAACATCTCTATCACGCTCGCAGGAGGTGGTGGGGGGCCAGGGGCGAGGCTCGAAGAATGCTGCGTGCGCAGCGTGTCGATCACGTCTTCCTGCTTCTCGAAGTATACTGTAGCGATTTTGGCGACCCAGATCCTGGTGTCTGGCGTTTTCGCTAGTGTAGTTTGACCAAAGAAGATTGCAATGTCGCGCGGCCGTCTGGTTTCCCATGGATGAGAGGCAAGGTACGGGTGTCGCTGAATGACGTCGCTCACATGGTAAGGCTGACCAGTCTACACTTGCGTTAGATTCGAGCTTTAAAGAATGGTAATGTGAGATTCGACTCACCAAAAGCGCTGTACGCTCAGTTGCTATCAATGTGGCGAGTAAAAGAAACGCATTCCCATTGTCCTCACGGCCTATGGCCCGCGGCTCCGACTCTGTCACAAAGCTTTTGATCAGAGCTGTGACGATACTGTGCGCCTCGGCATAGACCTGGCGGCTTGTCCTTAGGATAGCGACTGGGAGGTGACGTGTGATCAAGACGAATGTTGAATCGAGTTTCACTTCCGTGTCGGGCCACGAATAGCCCAGATAGCGAACCTCAGTGTGCTTGATCTGACGGGGTAGGCGCTTGTAAACCATGAGGCGCAACTCTGACGGGAGGTCCATGAAGCGAAAGGGCTTGGAGTCATTTTGCGTCGACATCGTGATAGCACTGCACACGAGGAAAACGCCGAACGCGGTAGAGCCTGCGTTGGAGTTAATTCGCGTACTTTGTATGTTTCAACTTAATGTAGGCTGCAAACCTGTTTGGTGTTTTCCTTGCTCAAGGTGAGTGTACTCCAGAGCTGTAGTGAGAGACTGAACCCGCGATGTAGCGATGCAGCGATCGAGAGACTGTTAAGATCGAAGTGAGGACGAGGACGAAAGTGAAGGCAGCTCTGGCAAGAGCAACGGACTCTAGCGCCGCTTGGCGTACGAAATAGGTAGTGGCAGTCGCGACTGGAAGCAACACGTGCGCGAAGACGCTGGTGAGAAGATTAAGAGTTAAACATACTAATCAGACAAGGCGGAGAAAGATCAAATGTACCATCTCCTTACCTGCCCAAGATATCGTCACGGCCAGCCATCCTTGCCGGCCACCAACACCCCACACGTCCCGTCTAAACCTTCATCCACAGCGCCAGCACACCCTTCGCATACTCAACGATTTCGTCACCACCAAGCTTGCTCTCGCCATACAACCTGTCAACGAACGAGATAGGCACCTCCGCAACGGTGCATCCCATAGCCTTGGCCCTTACCATCATCTCCATCTGAAACGTATACCCCTTACTCTCCGTCTGCCTAATAACCTTCTGCAACACCTCCTTCTTATACAACCTAAAGCTGCCCGTAAGATCACTCACACCCGGCCTGAGCACCGTATCCGCAAAAAGATTCGCCCCCCTCGACACAAACTTGCGCTTGAGATCCCAGCCGAACACGCCGCCGTCGCCTGCATACCGCGTTCCGGTAACGATATCGTAGTTCTTGGTCTTTTGCAAAGCGATCATGGGCGCGATGAACTTGGGGTGGTGGCTGAAATCCGCGTCCATGATGATGACGAAGTTTCCGGTTGCGAATTGCAGGCCGTGGACGTAGGCGGTTCCCAGACCGAGTTTACCGGCGCGCGCGCGGATTTGGATGCGGGATGGGGTGTAGGCTTTTTGGAGCTGGGCGGCGACTTCTTGGGTGCCGTCGGGGGAGCCGTCGTCGATGATGATGAGTTCCCAGTCGAGTTTGCTGTTCATGCATTGTTAGTATAGTAACGTGGTGGAGGTTGAGGGGGTGGGTGTTGCGACGTACTTCTCCTCAAACGTCTTGGCCAGCAGCCATGTTATTATGGGCAGGTTGCGGCGCTCGTTGTAGGTGGGGAGGAGCACCGAGTACTTGTTGGTGTTCGCCATCTTTACAATCGCGTGTATGAGTTGTGTGTCTGCGGAATTGGGTGAATGAGCGACTGCAGGTGAGGGTTGACGTTGGGGGAGTTGAGGATTCGCGGAGGTGATCGTGTCCGCAAGTAGCTCGGGGCTGTCGGCGGACCCTGGACTAGCCTGTTTGGGTGGCCTTACACGTCGATGTAATGTTGAATCGACATTCCCGCGCCAATTAGAAGGATATTGGATCGGTGCTGTCGGATTTGTAGGGTAATGCCGGTCGATACGCCGGATACCCTCTCACCATGTCACCCACACCCCAGAGGAAAAACCTCTTCCTCTGTCTCGACGCTTTCGGCACCCTCTTCACACCCAGCGCACCCATCCCAGTAACCTACGCCGCCGCCGCCCTCAAGCACGGCATCACCATAAACACGCCCGACCCCGCCACCCAAGTATCTTCATCCTTCAAATCCGCATTCAAGCGCCTATCATCAGAACACCCAAACTATGGCCGAGCAACAGGCATGGGCGCAGAAAAATGGTGGGCCAAAGTAATAAAAGAGACCTTCACGCCATTCTTGGCTCCAAACCAAACTCTCCCAAAGTACCTCGTCCCCGAACTTCTCCACACCTACTCGTCACGTAAGGGGTATACACTGTACCCCGACGTCCTCCCCTTCTTCCGCATGGTGCAGCATATGAAAGCGCATAGGAGACGTTACGGCGCTTCTCATGGACTCTGGCCCTGGGACAAGACTGTAGTAGGCATAATCACAAACTCGGATAACCGCGTCCCCGGGATACTATCTTCCTTTGATCTCAATATCAGTCCGCGGCGTTATAGTGGTGTGGCTGTCAGTCCTCTGGACACCACAAAATCAGAGCCATCGAAGAAGAAGAAGAACAGGAAGGAGGCGGAAAAAGAAGACGACATCGATTTCACAGTCCTATCCTACGACGTCGGGGCTGAGAAACCCGATGGAAGGATTTTTGCGGCAGCGGAAGAGATGCTGGCTGCTACTCTAAACGACTCTGTTAATTCCAGCTCCGATACTGCACCACCCGTTTCCTCGTTTGAGAAAATCTACGTGGGCGATGATATCCAGAAAGACGTGTTCGGCGCGCAAGACGCAGGCTGGTCGAGCGTATTGCTAGAGAGAGATCCAGATGCCCTGGGTGGCCAAGGGTACGGTTTGAAGATGGAAGAAAAGGGAAAAGAGACAGGGGAGGCAGGAGAGGTAATCAGTCAGGACAGAATGGTGCCACATGTTGGTTCCTTGCTCGATTTGTGTGCGTGGCCACGACAGGTATCTGAACGGCTTGAAGTATCGCCCGTCCGATATGTCTATATAAAGGAGGAGGTCCCTGAAGACAGATCGCCAGGGCAGGTCTCACGAATGAGAGAAATCGCAAGTATAATACACTGTCGCCAGGGCAGAAGAAGGGTCGACCACGAAGCCAGACGTAATCTACATGGCACTGCTTGGTAAATGAAGAAATTAAGCAGCCGATTACAAGCCCATCGATAGTGTTTCATCATACAAACATCACACTCCCTCACTCTGATCCCACACACTCGTCACATCAGCAAATACCATCTATTGTATCATACGTCTCATTGCAGTTCATTCCATGTCAGTCGACAATCCAACCTCCAACCACCAACCCCGCCAGAGACGAAAGACACTAAAGTCTGCATCTTATCCACCAAACCGTCATACCCCATCCACATCCATACCACCGACCCATCTTGCCATTCGTGCCGAAGCCTCACCGCAAAAAGAAACATACGAAACATGATCATGTACAGAATCCACCAAAGCAACCAGAGCCAAAAAAGGCACCGAGCCAAGTTGTTATCCAAAGCCCCCTCCAAACCCTTGATTTTCGCAGGATTCCGTTTGCCAATTTTTGCGCCTGAAAGGTAATGCCCGACTGTGGTGTCCGCGTGGTATTAAGGTTTTGGGTGACATCGTGGTATTGGATTTCGACTCGTCGTTGACCGTTATAATGCAAACAAAATGTGTGATTTGCTACACGATGAGAAACTACCTCATTCGAATGCGCGTTGGAAACGGATGTTCTTGTGTCACAACTCCTCGTCCTCTTCCATCTTGGTTTCGATGGTGGGGATGTTTCCGTCAGAGTTCGCCCGACCTTGGTTGTGGGCATCCATGAGGGCTTGGCCTAGGCTCTTGCGCACGTTGTCGTCGAATCCGGGTAATGAAGCGCGCTGCTTCTTGTAGGGTGAAGCGATCGAGTTTGTGCTGGGCTCTCCGGAGGTGTTCGCGGCGGCTGAGGATGACGCCTCTCCTGTCGACGCGTTTTCTGGTGCTGGCGTACCGGAAAGAGGAGATCCTGTCGAATCGGAGTGGGAGGGTCCTGCGGGGCGGCCGAGAGGTTCTGCGGAATGTTGACGCTTCAGCTGTGATGTGTTAGTAGATGAATTTCGAGCGACAACAATACACATACCTTGATCTTGCGTACGCCCTCTGCAAGTTCGCCTTGCCTGTGAGCATCCTCAGGCGACAGCAAGCCCTTGTCGAGAACCTCCTTATCATCATCCGCATCCTCCACCTTGACATCGTCCTCGTCGTCGGCGTCGCTGTCCATGGCGTCCTCCGTCTTCTTCTTGGACTTGGGCGAAGTCTCTCGGTAACCTCCAAAGTTCTTTGTTCCAGCAGCCGCGTTCAGAGGCTTCAGACTGCCAAAGTCGAGTGCGCCGGATTTCCGCTTGGTCTGTGGCGAGGTGATCTTGGGCGTCTCCTTGGTGTTCAGAATACCCATCTTGCGCAGTTGACCTGTCATTGGTTAGCGAAAATCTTGTATCCCTTGCTGTAAACTTACGCTCTCCGCGGTACAAGAAGGTAAAGACTGCGTAAGGCTTGTCCGGAGGATCTATGCCAGTCACGGTCTGGGTGCTGATAGACTTGGGGTCCAGCGTCTTAGGCTTTGCGAAACTCGTTGTGTGGTCAACATCCTCGCCCTCTCCTCCTCCGTTTTGCTCGTCGTCATCGTGTGCGTCGAACTGGGGTGAGTACTCGCCGCGCTTGATCTCTCCAGACGCCAGGACGCGGAACAGGGCGACCTTGATTTGTCCGGCTGCCTCGGGCATGGGGGGCTCGTCGTCCGAATCGGAGTCGGTGGTGAAGAACTCGTCGTTGCCAGAAAGCGTCTCGACAGGCGCGTCCTTGCTTTCGCTGTAGCGCAGTACACCGTTGCCGGAGGTCTTCTTGTCCTCGTCGCTGCTGTCCATGGCCTCTCTCCGCTTTGCCCGCTTCTTTTCCAGGCGCTGCTTTCTCCGCTCAATCTTGGCGGCCACGTCCTTGTCCTTGCCCTCGAGATCCAGACCGTTGAGCCATCTCTCGAGACCGACCTCGCGGAAGAGGAACTCGCGCTCTGCGAGACCCCCGCCCTCTGACTCTGGCACGCTGACCCACCGTGAGTTGACCCACGTCTCTTCGCCGCGTCGCAGCAGGGTCGCTACTTCCTCCTTTGCCCGGCCGTCAAAGTATATGTATGCAGCGATTGTCTCGTTCGGCGAGGTGGTCAAGGGCTTGTACGGGGCTATCGTGGGACCGTACTTGCCCCGCTCTCCGGTTTGACCTGGGAGGCCCCCGACAATCTTCGCTTTCGGGTTGGGGTCATCGTCAGTTGGCTTGGGCGTCGAGTAGGGCACGTGAAGACCTGGAGTGAGCAGAGTGATCGATATCGCGAAAGAAGACTGCTCAGGCTTGGTAGCGCCCGGCGGTATCTTTGCGGGTGGGACAGGGATGTACGAGGTGATGCGGTGATGTTTAGATTGCTTCTGTATCGAGTACTCTGGAAGCGGGTTGCTGTCGGCATGGATGCTGACGGCGAGGCCTAGAAAGGTCGGCATTTTGGATTAGGCGTGGTGAGGACGGCTGCGAAGCTGCGGAGATGGCAGCGGAAGAGCCCTAACACAGTAGTCTTGGCAGAGTTGGGAGGGAGAAAATATCCCTGCGATAGAGCGGCCGCCGGAGGGGCAGCTGCGCGAGTAAGTAGGCGAAGATGGGCTAGGAGGCGGTGTGAGGTAGCGACTCTGAAGGTCTGTGTTGTTGGTTTAGCGGAGAGCTTCCGTAGCGGGCGCTCCACGATGTTGGGGTCCACAAGTCGAGCACCCAAGTCACGAGCCAATCACGCGTGCACCTGATGTTTTCTGCGAACTTCAAAGAGCCGCCATCTTTCACGCATGTAACTGTCAATATCACGTCAAAGGATATGCTGCGACCATGCGTTTGGGCAGGGGATCGAATCAGGGGCGTGCCTGTCGTCGATCGAACGTGGGGTCATGACTAGCGGCATGGCGCCTGTTCGTGCCTTTCAAGTTGAAGGGAGCCCTGGCAGACCTACGTTCAGAATCCATGTGTACGAACAACGACTCAACATTCATCATAACGCGTTACCCAGACATTGTGAGAATGTGGAGCCAAAATTTCATACCAACTGAAAATTCGAAGCATCAAAGACAGCGGTCGGGGTTCGAATTCCTCATCACCGCTCTTTACTCGCCGATGTCTCCACTTGTCTCTATCTAGGGTATCATACAGTTCCTTAGTCCTTTTCGATCAACGCGAAAAACCCCATATTATCTTGGGCGCATAAGGTGAGCTTCAGAGGGTATGCAGCATCCTTCTGATGAGATGCCACCACCTCCCCTCCACCTCCCCCACCCACGCGTCATACAGTTTCCTAGTCCTTTCCGATCAACGTGGCCAACCTATCTGGTTCCGAGTCCAACTGGAGAGCTTGAGATGATTGACGGCATCTTCGTGGTGAAATAGGAAGACTAATCCTCCTCATCCAAAGCAAACATATCCTCAGCCTTTGGTCTCAACCGCCTCGCCCTCGCAACAGCGGTTTCTCCAGGTATTTCAACGACCTTTGGCGGATCTGCAGGCACCACAACCTCCGGGGCGACAACTTCCTCCTTGACCACAGCCTCAGCATCCGCTTCAGCAACAGGTCGCTCAGGCTCCGGGTCCCCCATCTGACTCGCAGTAGGAGAAGGCGATCCCGCCCCATCCTTCGCATCCTCATCCACATCAACATCCATCACCTCCTCACCCTCCCCCTTATCCGCACTAGGATTAGCCGTTTTCCTAACAACCACCCCCTTCCTCCTCCTCTTCTCCGCCGCCCTTCTCTGCACCTCCAGCTCCTCCCTCTCCCTCTCCCTCCGATTAAACGCATCATCCAGCTCCTTCAACGTCTTCTCATCAAACAAATGATCGCCCGTCCACACCGCCAAAATCGCATTAACATCCTCCCTATACGTCCTCTCCGTCATCCTTCCCATCTCCAATTTCTGCGGCAACTGCTCCAGGTGTTCAAAGACTTTGCGTTCGACAAGCTCCGTTCCGATGGCTAGCCGGTATTTGTAGGAGACGCCTGATTCCCTTGCGGTGACGAGCAGGACGTCGGAGACGATGCGGAGCGCGTTTAGGGTTACTTGGCGGAGGTCCGGGCGCCGGATGTCGTCTTTAAGGGCTGCGTCGCCTGCACGGTTTCGTGTGTTTGCGTCGGTGAGTTGGAAGGGGTTGATGATGTTGGAGACGAGGATGCTGGTGACTTCGTCCATGCCCTGGGCGGCGTTATCGACGGCAAAGGTCGAGATGGCGGCGAGGTCGTCGTAGACGATGCTGCCGGGTGGGATTGCGTTGATCATCCACAGGAGCATCGCTCGTGATCTGGGGTTCATGATGCCGTGTCCATTGTCCACGCGGCCGGGATAGTTGTCGCCCACGGGTAGAGGCTTGAATATTGGCTTCTCCTTCTCCTCCTCGTCATCGCTATCCAGACTCTCGTCGTCTGATTCGAAAGCGCCAACGTGGTCGACGAACTCGTGGCGGAGCGGATCGACGGGGCCTTTCCAGGCGCCCTGCCCCGCGAAGATTTCGGAATCGGTGCTGTTGGTGACGATTTGGTGGAGACGCCAACGGTAGTACCGGTTGACGGGATGCTTCTGGTCGTATAGCCATGCGAATCGCTCCTCTTCTTGTACTTGCGGCTCGTTCATCAAAGCCGCTTCGAACTCCACACCACCAAGAATGACGCCCTCAATAGTCTGATGTACCAATCTGAGTGTCGCGAGATCGGGAGGCTGGTTCGCAGTGATGATGAGATCTTCAGTGTTCTCGCGCGGCCCTCTACCCCCTCCCCCTCCACCAAGATCTGGCGGCGGCGCAAAACCCTTGGGTAGCTCGGGTGCCTGCCACCGTGCGCCAAATGCCTTTGTCTGTTGTGTTGTGTCTGCTGTGCGACTACCCAGATATCTGTCTAGATGTAGATAGTAGCCTTTGCCCAGATACCTCTTGTCGTTGAGTTTGTTC